AAACCAGTCTTAAGTCGCTTGGGTATATTTTTTAGCAATAACAAAAAAAAACATTGTATGGGTAAAAATTATAGATTTTTCTTTTATGCCAAAAATCATTAGGATATTAAGTAAAGTAAAGTAAAATGTTCCATGAAGATATTTTGTAAATTTCCTACAGTGAATATATCAAAACTTAATTTTTGATTAGTAATATGCATAGCTAAGAACTTCGTTTGGACAACTTTAAAGGCAATATTCTCAATATTTAGATTTTTTTGCACCCTCAGATTCCAGATTTTCAAATAGTTGTATCTCGGCCAAATATTGTCCTATCCTAACAAACCATACATCAATGGAAAGCTTATTTATTCAGCTTTCATGAGATGTATAAATCTCTTATGACTGGTTTTGTGGTCCAGGGTCACAAATTTATGTTTCATCAGAGGTTTTGACAACCTTATAGTTAACTTTAACTAAACTAAACTTGGTAAAAGTAGTTGTTTATTGGCAAGCCTATTAGTAACATATTGGCTGTTTATTAGCACTTATTAAGCACAAATTCTGCATGAACATATTCTGCATCCCTAAATCTACCCAATACCTAAACTTAAAAACGACCTTACTAATAATTAATAAGCAGCAAATTAGTAGTTTATTGAGGCAAAAGTCGTAGTTAATGGTTTGTTAATAGTGAGAATTGGACCTTAAAATAAAATGTGACCCTAAACTTTAGTTAAACAAAAGTCAGGGCCCTTTCACACCAAGAACGTCAACTATAACGGTAACGAAGTGTTATGTCATCTGTCACTGCAAATGCTAGAGCTCTTAAACTATATGAATTCTGATTAGCTAATTTTTTTGTTTTATCGTTTTTGTTAACTATCAGTTTACATTTTTTTTGCCTCTTCTGATGTCACTGATTATCACTTTATTATATCACAAAACATCTTTAAGATACTCAACGGTTAGAAAACTAGCTAGCTAAAGTCTTCTGTTTTCCAAAATTCTGCTGTTTCCTCTTGAGAAAACTTTCTTAGTATTAGTCTTTCCACGCTGTATTGACAGTCTCTTGGGTTTTTTTTAAGTTAGCAGCTTATTTAATGACTCACAGAAATACAAGGAGATGTGATTCATCAGTTGTAAATGATCCCTTTGAGGCTTGTTGGCTGAAGTATTGTCTTGAGTTGCCAGTCCTCCTCTATAGAGCTGCAGCCCAAAACCGTAAGATTTATGTGTTTGTATTCTAGTCCATAGTTCGGCTGCAATGCACTTTATTTCAAAGAGGTGTTTTAAAGACTCACATAAAAGAGGTTTGCATGTCTGTCTGTGGTCATTAGTTACTGAACAGAACAGCAGCCCGAAGCCATTTTAAGTAAACCAAAAAAGGAGTCATGCTGGGACGTCACATAACCCACTTCCTGAAACAAGGCTGCTTTTCAGTTCATTTGTTGGAAAAAAAAAAAACACTGCATAAGCTTAGAAAAGCCATCAGTCAAACAAGGAAAGGTGTGAAACTGACAGAGAGTGTAGACAGCTAGTGTTGATACAGTGTGTGCTTTAGTTGTTGATGCTATTCTCGAACATGTTATTATAGGACCCTTACATTTTGAGAGATAATTGTTATTTTCGGTTTGCGATTCCGTATATATTGCCATAGCAATTACGTATGACATAAATGCCATTTGAAAAGGGCAAATAATAAAATCTGTAGCCACAGAAAGAATGTCTGTGCTCAGCTAAGGGGCCTTTCACACCAAAACTGGCACTGCATCCGCATGATAGAATGTACACATCGCCCTGTGCCATTTCATGTCCAGCTGTGTTGGTGCCATTAGTCTCGACAGTAGCACATTCTATTTCAGCCTCATGTTAACAGGTCGGATCATCAGCTTTTTATACTTGGGATTTGCAGACAGTTCTGAAGCATGTTGTGTAAGTATAGGATACTGTCCACCTACGTGACTGCCCAGACTTTCCAGTGTACCTCATAAGGCCGATTCTGTCATGCCAGAGGTTGAGAAAAATGTTTGAATTAATGTCAGTGTTTTATTAATGATATTCAAAGCTAGACTGTGGTAATGCAAGAGAGAGCAATACTGAAATTTAAACACTGGTACTTCACTCAACATAAATTTTCATATGGAAAAAACTGTGTGTGTGTGTGTGTGTCTCAGTTTCTGGTTTGTCTACCAGGGCTCGATGTGGCTGTGGCTTTCAGGGTCACTAAGGCATTGGATCAAGAGCCTTTGATTAGGACTGTATTCTGGACTCAGCAGCTGGAAATACAGGCCGCTGTCATTCTGCAGACTACTAAAGCAGACACTTAATAAGTTATTCTGTATCCAGCAGGCAACAGCAGCCCAGTGGCCTGGCTTTGACCATCTCTCATAGTGAACAATGAAGAACGGGCAGCGCACCAGATTCTTGACATTTATTGATTCTTGACTGAGTGAAAGAGCTCTTTACTTCCTTTCCGTCTCAGCAGCTGACTCCTCTGTCTTTCTCCACTCTCTTTCCCACTGGCCCCTCTGGGATTTAATTGAATCCTGATGGTGGCTTTGCTCTGTGGCCCGGCCAATTTTGATATATATTCCCCTCCCCTTGATGATGTTCCGTCCAAGCTGTAGGCTGACTGCAGACGTAGAGCACAGACAGCTGTGACTAAAGAGGTGGGGCCAGAGTAATTCAGTGAGCAGATCTGGGACAACAGGACATTCCCAGAAAACAAACCAAGTCAATGGAAGTGTTGGCATACATTTGTATGGAGGACAAATAAATCCATGCAGTTTGAATACCATCACATACAGTAAATGGTACTCTGTGCAAGCATAGCAGGAAAAAAATGCCAATCGACAGCTAGACAGGGACAGTCCCTGTCTAGCTGTCTCTTTGGGTCATGACATTGCCACATTTACTTGGTCTATGACGTGTAGTGAAACTGTATAATGGAGAAGCTCTTACTTGGAGGTTAGTGTGGGCCTGGGGTGAGAAAATCGGCTGGTGGTGACTATGTGACAGTTGGAGAATGAGGAGGGCAGAGGTGGTGAGACATGAAGGATCTCTACTTTCATCAAGAACATGGACCATAGAATTTCAGGCATGACTGGGACCAAACCCTTCCACGCTCTTCTCTCATGAAAAATGTCTTCTTCAGTAACTGATGCCTGAAGCAGGCTAAGCTGATCCAAACAGGCCCATTAGCTTTAAATAGACCTGCACACCTTGTCAGGTGCCTGTATACTGAATTCTCTTTATGATCTGTTGGGAGAGATGAGAAGAGACAGCCAGGGGGCACAGAGATAACCATGAGTGTGTGGTTGCATAAGTGTGTCATGCTCATTAATTGTGTGGTTTAATCTTCTGTGCTTCATTAAAACTTTACAGTTAAGCAGCTAAGCTGAGCTTAGATCCTCATGGATTGAATTCATACTTTATGGAAAAAACGTCAAAGAATCTGCGGCAAGTGGTCAAAGATTTTGTGATGAATTACAGGCGAACCGTATACAGTTTCTACCTACATGCAAAATGATTGGTGAGTCATGGCAGTGACAGATTTAGCAATTATATCTAACCTCTGCACTGATATAGCTGTCTATATGTAACTCTATATTTATCTCAATCTTTTCAATGGAATTCGTCGGTAGGTTCATCAGAACTGGAATTTATCGGTTGAATATGAAATGATATAGATCCAAGATAAAGATAACGATATGAGTTTAAAATGCAACTTATTTGTGCTACATAATAGTTACCGAGCATGTACATTTCAATGGACTATATCATGAATACATTTGGGATATACTGCCACAATTTAACATTGCATAAGCTTTACACGAAATTTACATATTACCTGGCTTGCTCTTCAGCCATCTGTTTGAATAATTTTCAGAATGCTTCACAGAATTTGGATGCACTGAGAAAATCTATTCAGATATGAATCCAGCTAAAAGTCTTCCATGGATTCTACAATGTATGTTTTAATATATGAATACATTACATTAATACATAATACATTAATAATGATGCATTATGTGTTTAGATCCTTTACAATGATTTAATTTACTGAATTTCATATCTGATCAATTCTAAAAATAAATAAACAAATAATGTGTCAAACATTTATTATAAATAATGGTAAACCTAGCATTTATGTTAGTAAATTAATGAATGTTCAATCAACGGAGGGCAGAGGCCTGAAGCCCTGACCTATACAATGGGCCCAGAAAACCTAGTGACGCCCCTGGTGCTCACCACAGTCAGAAAATTATACACTTGGTGTAATAACAACAATTTCGCACACATAAATTAACTAAATCATTTTTGTTTTTCTGGTGTTTCTATTAACAGGATCTACAACCAAGGGAATATTTTCTGTATCTATCTGTATTTATGTTCTGTATTTATGTTCTACTGTTAGTGTTATCTGTATGCACCAAGGGTCTGAGAGTAACGCAATTTCAATTCTCTGTGTGTATGTGGTGTACATGTGGAATAATTGACAATAAAGCAGACTTGACTTGACTTGACTTGATATAGGCACAATTAGTTTATAAATTATAAGGCACAGTTAGCCTATTTCAAATCACACACACACACCCACACACTTAGCATTCACTACAGTTTTGTTACCTTGTTGAAGTCAGCAGGATATGGAAAGAGGGCCTTCCAGATGATAACTTTTATTTGCCTGATTGAATTTTGTATATATTTTCGTAAATATCTGATAGTCTAACGTCTGTCAAGACAGTTCTTTATTAAAAATACTATCATGACGAGTAAAGTCATGTCCCAAAAATCTATCTATCTATCTATCTATCTATCTGTCTATCTATCTATCTATCTATCTATCTATCTATCTATCTATCTATCTATCTATCTATCGTTCTACCTCTCATTCTGTCATTTTATCTTTCTATCTGGCTCTTAGGTAACCTGTTTCTGGTAAGCGTGTATAGTGTCGCCGTTTATATATTCCCGCCCGCCCAGCGTGTTTGTGAGGAGCTGCCCTGTCCGCGCGCGCTGTGGCTCTGCTCGTTCTGCACTGGCTGCTGTCAGCACGCAGAGTCTGAACGGCGAGGCGTAACACTGATACTCCACAAAACCGTGTGTTGATACGCTACACATGAAACTATCGCTTTGGATATCGGACTGTCCTAAAAGCCCAGATGACAAGCCTTAACCCGGAGCGAAACGGTATGTGTTTGTTGATCTATCGAGTGTTTTACCGCGCATGAATACTTGCCCTGTACATTTAAGTAGAAGTTACGCGTGGTTGTCAAGTAAAATGTCTTCGTGACTTAAAGGGAAGGGCTGAAGTTCAAATAGACTTTATTATCGAAGTTGGGCGTTGAGATAAGTCACGGTCGGTTGTTTTTGAGACGATATGAGACCGTGTTTTGAGTTTCAGACTTGTGGAGTGATTTACCGCATCGCCTGTGTATTAAACTCACGCTCGCAGTAAACTGACTGACTGCTGTACACGCCTGCTTTTATTTGCACTCAACAGACACATTCAATTACGATTGTTTGTAGGTTCGCTTTTGTACTTTGTGATGTCTGTCACTTTCACTTGAGTAACATGTTAATAATTTACCAGAATGACAGAATTTGTAGCTTCCTTGTTACATTTCTTAGAGTTACAAGATCTAGAACTGTAAGATGAATGTGTAGCATTCGTTTCCCCCCTCAAGCTACATAAATTGAATGCAAGTTATGAACAGTTTCATAGTTTGCTTTTGCTGGAAGGGATAAGCATTTGTTTTTGCTTTCTGACTGTTCAACTAAATGCTTAGTTTGGCTGAGGTGCTGTTAACTCATTCTTGAGCAGCAGGAATTGGCACAGCACTTATATCCTGTGCATCTTGGAAAGATCAGATCTCTGTCATGCTGTCTTTATAAATATCCCGGTGGGGTCTCTCTGCTGTGGGTGTAATTGGGCATCCCGCCTGTACTAAATGCATGCCTGTCCTGCTCGAGTGCAACCTTGAGCTGTGCTCTGTTCTTTGTCACTAGCCTGATAACTTGACAGATACTGAGACGGCTGGGCAGTCTCGGGATCGTTTCCTCTCTAATTAGCCCAAAATAGCTCTGGATCACAGCTATGCGCTCCCTTGCATTAATCACTTCCTAAGTGCCGGAATTGAACGTTCTGGGTCAATCGCAGCCTGTTGTCCTAACACAATAATTTTTCCTCCTTCACAAGACTTAAGAGTTATTCAGCGGCACAATATGCAGAAAATACGCTTCCTAACTGGTGTCCCGAGAGTGAAGTCATTTGGCACCTGATTTGATTCCTCACCATACATCCAGCCGCTCTGGGACTGCATGGGTCTGGTTGGCTGCCAACGAGCCACAGCAGAGTGCATTGGTGAGGTTTTGGTCAGCTGTGGTTTTCGGCTCTTCCCATTGTATCCCGTCCCCACTGCTCGCTATTGACCAAAGCTCATTAAACTCCACATGAAGGCCAGAGCTGAACCACTGACCCCTACAATGATGCTTTTTTGGGCACCTCCTACATTATATGTGTGTGGTCCTGCACAGAAGTCTGTCCTTAGTCCCACAAGGCTTGTATATAGACAAATATAATTTGAAGTGGCACATCATAGATAACAATTGATCACATGGGATTTGATTGTAAATATATACTGGTCAAAAGTTTTAAATTGAGGTTTTTTTTATGTTTTGAAAAGGTGCTCACCAAAGCTGCATTTATTTGATAAAAAATACGGTGAAGAATATTTTTAGAGTTTAGAAGAACTGTTTTAACCTATTTAATATTTTAAAATGTTATTTATTCCTGAGAATTTATTTATTTATTTATTTCAAACTGTTTTAGTAGAATATACTACAGGAAATTTAGTCTGTTTCAGAAACCATGACTATGTATGGTGACAAATGATGTTTAAATCATCGTTCGAAGGTTTTGAAATGGACCCAGTCAGTGATCTTTTGCAGTACATGCTGGGCAAGCATGCAGAATTGCACTTACTCACGAAGGCTTTTACGTAGCAATTTTTGAGGCATGCAATTATCTTGCTTGCATAGTCAATCTGCTTCCTCTCATTTTTGTTTTTAGTAAAGCAATGCAAACCTCGTAACTTTTTAGTAATATTCACTGGGCCGTACAGTCTATTTCTGGGTTTTACTACTTGCGTTTATGCAAGGTTTTAAGTAGAGGGAGGTCAAGACTGCTAGATCTGTGAAGGTCTTTTTGGATGTAAACCGCTTTGGTCACATAGTGCCTCGGACGTAAACTGTCACAGATCTGCTATATGCTTGCATGCTGTAGGTATAAATGGTTGTCCCATCATGTAAGACAGGAAGTGACAGCTGGACCTAAGTGACTTTCATGGCCACACATGGACAAGATCCTCAGGACGAGCAGACAGCACTGACCATCCCACGAGCCCCTCAAACTTCCAGCAGGGCCATAGTCTGTTTCCTCTTACCACATAAGGAGAGTACCAAAAATTCAACAGGGGCGAAATATTTGGTGTTAATTGCATGTATGTTTTTGATGGTTTTCCCCCGATAATATTTAGATGCATTGTTTGAGTTATTTTTCCATTGTTAACAGGTGACATTGCTCATATTGCTCATTCATTATTTTTTCCAACCACTATCATAAACCACTGCATACCCGCTCCATTATGAGCATGACATCTGTAATGACATGTTAGGATTACAACACCGCTTGTGTTTATAAACCAAAATGGCTTGTTAAGCACAGCATGTTTGCGTCAGTGAAAGACACCGTGTCAGGTTTGTCTCTTCTGTGAGCTTCTCTCAGCATAAACCCCTCATTGCCTGTGCATTATATGCTAATTAAATTGGATCACCTCTGGATGGTTTATGTCGATAATGGCCGCAATTTCAAGTGCAGCATTAAGAAAACCCTCAGGCAACTTGTCAAGTCTCCATCAAGACTCTTCATTTGCTCTCTTCATCTGTTTACTTCCATTCAGAGCGCTAGTATTTCCGTGCCACAGCCATTAGAGACTGTATTCAGAAAACGAGCGTTCCTCCAGGGGACGGCTTCCCAAAAAAAGCTCCCGATTCTGAATATAGTTCAATTTAGATGCAAAAAAGCTCTAGCTGTGTGAGGCCCTGCTCCTTTTGCTGTTATTTCCATACAGCACAGACAAAACACTGCTGTGTGTGCCCTGAATAAAACTAGCGGCTCACGACTCGAGTGTGTGTGCAGCATATACTCGCTGCTATTGGAGATCTGAAGCTTGCAGAATAAGATGTGACAGCTTTCTGGTGATGCCTGGTGGAATTGTGGGGTTATGATCAAATCTTTCGGAAACCATAACAACTGATCTTAGCAAGGCTCAAACATTATTGCAGATTCTGTTGAGATCTGGCCATTTGTTGTGTGGAATCTAGGTAGAGCGTGGCAGACGGGGATTTGGGAATGAATTCCCTGGTGTAAAGGGAGTTTCTCAGGGTCAAGGTCCTTTTCCCACAGTTCTTTATAGACTTGTGTCTTTTCACAGATGCATGTGGTGCCAATGTAGAAGAGAGAAAAATGCTGTTTAAGTTTGTGTACTGGTTGGTCAGAGGGCAGAGTGTTTAGATTGGAGTTTTTCCATCATTCCGACTTCTGCAAGGGAGGCTGAAAGGCCTGCTTGAGAAAATGCACAGTTCGGTGTGATCGTCAATGAATCATGTACACACATTGTTTGATAGTACCAGTGATAGTAACCGCATAATACAGAAGTAAACAAAACATTTTACACAAGTCCATTTAGTGTTTTTTTTTTTGGCGACAGCGGCGGCCTGCACTCTTGAAATCGCATTAGCCAAGTCTCAAGCTGTGTTACGACAATATGATCTATTAATTATTTATGGCCTTTTTATTTAGGATGCACTCACTTACGTTTTTTTGGCACATGCACATTCCTTAGCTGCTTTTGCAGGATGTGGAAACTCCCGCTCATAACTCATATTGGGCCTTATCTATTCAATCTGATGTGGTTTGGAAAGTGTGAGTGCAGAGTTTCACTGTAAGCATTCGGATTGCATGGCAGGTGAGGGAAAAATCTGAAAACTGCTCCCTGCAACTTATTTAAAACTCAGGCATTGCCATAGTAACTGCTTATCTGTTCTAACCCAGCGAACATCTATAAGTGGAGAGCGGTTTTCCTGTGATTCACATGATCCTTTTGAGGTAATGCAGGATGCTCAAGAGGCGTGAGGAACCTGAAATGCGAAAGCGCATGCCGCAGGTTTACGTGCAGCTAATGAGGAGGTGAGTCTGTCATACTGAGAGGAGGCTTTCATGAACTGTAATACGGTAGATATAATCTGAGCTGGTGAATGATGCACATCTATTTGGTGCTGCAGAATTTTATGACTAATGACAGTTTGTCTAGATTACTAGTTAGCTTGATTACTGTTATGTACAAATCAGTACAAGGCTAAGCTCCTGTCTCTTGGGAATATTTTGGCTGGTTTAGTAAGTTGCTGACATATCTAATTATTTTAGCTCTGCTGCAAAACCAAGCCATCATGGGCGCACACCTGACGTGAAGCCTGTGCCAAAAGTAGGCCTCCTAAAATAACTTGACCAAATTTTAAGGCAGCATTGCATGTATTCTTCATGAAGAAGTCGTAGAGGCAAGCGGAGTACAAAATAAATCTAAGGCTGCATCTGAAATCGCTTACTTCTCTACTATAGAGTAGGTGAAAAACAGTATGTGAAAAGAGTAGCATGTCCGATTTCTCAATATTCATAAAAGAGTAAAGCAACGTACCTGATGCTGGCAGGTCACATGAATTACGACAAATGTAGTACATCCAGATTACATTTATACAACGCACATTTATACTATAGAACATACTTTTTTTTTAATGGTTGTGAAGTACTTAACTGTTTAACCTCCTGAGACCCAGCTATGGAGTTTTTGCCTCTGTAGTGGACATTATATTTTAGTGAATTTCTCTGAGACCTCACATGTCACAGTTTTATGTCTGGATGTCCTGTACAGAGCACATTCAGGGCTTTCCAGAGATACCAAATGATTGGATGTTTCACCATGACCACTCTCTCTCCTTGGTTTTTAAAAATGGCTGACATTAGTGATACAATTGTACATCCTTATGGAAATATGATAATATTTTGTAATTATAATTTAAATCTGATTAATTTTCTAATTGTTTGTCATAAATCAACATCTCAGGAAAATGTT